AAAAAAAAAAAAAAAAAAAGACAACCCACAGACTGGGAGAAAATATTTGCAAATCATATGTTTGATACAGGACTTATGTCCAGAATATGTAAAGAATTCTTACATTTTCTTTTATATTATTATAAGAATTCTTTTATAATATTATAAAAAGACAGCCCCATTTAAAAATGAACAAAATATTTGAGTAGACATTTCCTTGAAGAAGATATATGAATAGCCAATAGGCACATGAAAAGATGCTCTACATCATGAGTCAGTAGGGAAGTGCAAATTAAAACTACACTGAGATACCACTTCACACTCAGTAGAATGGCTATAATGAAAAAGACAATGACAAGTGTTGGCAAGGATGTGCAGAAATTGGAACCCTCATACGTTGCTGATGGGAATGTAAAATGATGCAGACACTTTGGAAAACAACTTGGCAGTTTCTTAAGATGTTAAATGTAAAATTATCATGTGATCCAGCGATTCCACTTCGAACTATCTACCCAGGAGAAATGAAAATGCCTGTCCACACGAAGACTTGTATGTGAATGTTCAGAGCACTATTATTTACAGTAGCCAAAAGGTAGAAACGACCCAAGTGTCCATCAACTGGTGAATGGATAAACAAAATGTGGTGTAGCCATTCTGTGCAGAGAATAGTTAACATAGACAACCCGACACTGCTATCCTTAGAAAGTCCTGCCTATAGGGTTAGCCCTTGGCCAGCATCTGTGAACTTGGATTTTGGGAGGGTTCCTACCATTCCGAACTTATAATAGTGGTTCAGTGTGCCTAAACTATTTGTACAAACGATGTGGTTTATGCTAGAAACCTGCTTTCCTTCTGAGAGTCTGGAATTTTGGTACGTCCTAGACAGAAAGTGGTGTATATGTGACCAGCCCCCAATAAGAACTGTTGGCTCTGAGTCTCTAATAAACTTCCCTGCTAGACAACTTTTCATGTGTATTGTCAGATTGTTGCTGGAGAAAGGTGTGACTCTGCTGGGAGAAGACTCTTGGAAGCTCGAGCCTGATTTCCTCCGGACTTTGCCCCATGTACCTTTTCTGTGTGATTAGGAACAATCTCATATAAGATTCATGTTAGTCTCTTACTTCAGGGAGATTCCTCATCCTGACATTATAGGAGGCCTGCCAGGCCCGTGATGAGTAGACCACAGGAGGCAAAGTGATAAAACCTGGATTGGAGAACCCAAATCCAATCGACTCCAGTACCCCGTGTTCTTTCCCTATACCATTTTGCCTGATACAATTCTTGAATAGTACTGAAAGCTATTTCCTGAAATTTTACTATTTTGCTATTTCTAGCAACTACTGGCAAAATTTTAAATATTACTAATTGCAGGAATTACTTTTAAGTATTTCTGAGTGTAATTTCTTTTTACTAAACTGGTAGTACCATCCTTAGAAACTTCCAGCTGTTCCTGTTGTTTACATTGGTCCAAACTCTTCAGCATAGAGTCTGGTTAGGGAGACAGGGAAGGATTACAAGAAAGATTACGAGATCAGATGATCAGGGATAAGGATAAGTCTAGGGTGCAGTAGGAACACTAAGAGGGCAGTCTGGAAAAGCTTCCTGGAGGAGGTGACATTTATGCAGACACTCAAAAGGACAGCCATTAGAAAGAGAGTCATTTGAAATTTGATTATTAATCATCTGTTCCTTACACAAATATTTTGTTTCTTTTTTTTTTTAGATTCTGCACTTGAGAAGGCTCAACTAGAAATTGAGAAATTGAAAGAAAATTTGATAAAGCTGAAAGAAAATGGTGAGTCATTTTAGCAGATATAATGTTTAATAATAATACATTAAATAATAATAGATTCAATAATATTTGAAAATAATAACATTATTTAATAATTATGATACTACTACTACTACTGCTATTAATACTATTTCTACTACTATTACTACCACTTGTTGCTTACTGAGTAGTAGGTACTCTGCCAGGCACTTTATGTGCATTATCTCTAATTCTCACAACACTCCCAAATAATAAGTATTATTATTCCTATTTCATAGATAAAGAAACTGAGTCATGGCAAGGTTAAGTGAATTATCCAATAGCTATAAAACCTATATGTGTCTGACTCCAAAACCTGTGGTCAACACAAATAATACATATTTTACTGGGACCACCGAGATCAAGACACCTTATAATGCATTTAACCACACCTCACACGTTTGTTCACTGGGAAACCAATAGGCTTGGAATCAGTGGTGAATTAGTTAATCTGATTCTAGCTTGACTATGTAAAAATGCTACCAGTTTATAAATAATACAGTGAAATTTGAGTGTTGTAATGGTAGCAACTACAAAAATAATTTAAAATGTGTTTACTGGTTTTAAATAATTTTAAAATTAGATTTACCCTGTGATGTTGTGATTTATAACAAGAAATATGTATTTGGTCTTAGTCCAGTTCCTGGCACCAAGCTCCTAAAACTCTTGCAATTTCCTAAGTGATGAGAGAGATAAAGTTGTCTTTTGTTATGTTAATGAGGACTTTTGGAGAGCCCCTCGGTAACCAAAGGATGGCAGCTGGTTGCCAGGGGAGCCAACCATGTAATTAGAGGGTTGGAACTTTCAGTCCCACCCCCAACCTCCTCAACCCCCGCTCTCCCAACCCCCACTCTCCCACTCCCACCTCCCCCTCCTGGGAAGGGAGAGGGCCTGGAAATTAAGTTTAGTCATCAATGGCCAATGATTTAATCAGTCATGCGTACGTAATGAAGCCTCCATAAAAACCCGAAAGGAGAGGGTTCAGAGAGCTTCCGGGTTGGTGAACACATGGAGATTTGGGGAGAGTGGTGCACTCAGGGAGGATGTGGAAGCTCTGCACCCCTTTCCCCATACCTTACCCTTATGCATCTCTTCCATCTAGCTGTTCCTGAGTTATATCCTTTTATAATAAACCTGTAATTTAGTAAGTAAAATGTTTCTCTGAGTTCTGTGAACTGCTCTAACAAGTTAATCGAACAAGGAGGGGGTCATGGGAACCTCTTGTGCTTGGCATCTGAAGTGGAGGGTAGTCTTGTTGGACTGAGCCCATAGCCTCTGGAATCTGATGCTATCTCCAGGTAGATAGTATCAGAATTTAGTTACATTGGAGGACACCTAGACCCCCACACATTATGATTGATGATCAGGATTTTTAACCCTCTTTTCAAAATTATATGAATACAATTATAAAATGAACACAGCTTTCTTGGCAATTGATAGAGCAAGTAAACAAAATCAGTAAGGATATAGAAGATCTAATAACACTACCAACCAACATGACCTAATTGATAATTACAGAAAACTCCACCAGAAGTATTACATTCTTTTCAAGTACTCATGGAAAGTTCACCAAGAGAGACCATCTGGGCCATAAAACAGATTTCTGCAGAAGAACTGAAATCATACAAATTATGTTCTCTGATCATAATAGAGTTAAACTAGAAAGCAATAACAGAAGTATGTTTAGAAAATCCCCAACTATTTTAAAAGATACTTCTAAATTGCCATGCTTTCAGAGAAAAAATTACAAGGGATATTACAAAATATTTTCTATGAATTTAACTTGAATGAAAATGAAAACACAACATATCAGTATTTGTGGGATGCAACTAAGTCAGTGCTTAGAGGGAAATTTATACCATTTAAAGCTTATGCCAGAAGTCAAGAAAGAACTCAAAATAATCTAAGATTCTACCTTGAAAACCGAGAGCAAATTAAATCCAAAGCAAGCAAAAAAAAAAAAAAAAAAAGGAGATATTAAAAATAAGAGTTGAAGTCAATAAAATTAAAAACAGAACCACAATAAATTAGTGGAACCAAGAGTTGGTTCTTTGGAAGGATCAAAAACATTGGTGAACTTCTAAATAGATTGTTTGTGAAAAAATGAGAGAAGATGCAAATTACTAATATAAGAAATGACAGAGAGAACCTTTCTATAGATCAAAAATATAATAAGGGAATATTTTGAGCAGCTTTATGACAATAAATTTGATGTCCTGGATGAGATGGATGCGTTCCTCGAAAGATACAAACCAGCAAACCTCACTCAAGAAAAATAGATAGCCCTAAATCTACCAAAGACACTGAATTTGTAGTTAAAAATCTTCCCACAAAGAAAATTCCAGGCTCAGATGGCTCTACTGGTGAATTCTAATGAAGTTTTAAGAAATAAATAATACTGATTTTACATAAACTCTTCCAGAAAATTGAAGAGTGAATACTTCCCAACTTTTAGGTGGTCAACATTACTTTGATAACAAAACCAAAGACATTACATTATCCTAATGACCATAGAAGAACTTGTAAAAGTACAGGGAGTAAGGAGTAACGTGTTGGGTGGTAAAATTAAATTCTGTTTATCTACAATTAATTGGCTAAATAAGCTACTGCACAGTGGATGCCTTGCATCTATTGATAAGAATGACATTAATTTACAGGCACTGACAGGAATAGATGTGGGTGATATGTTATCAAGTGAAAAAAGGAGGCTGTTGAGTAATACATGTGCTGTGAAGTCATTTTGGTTTTTATTTCCATGAGGGGTGTGTGTGTGTGTGTGTGTGTGTGTGTGTGTGTGTGTCCCCATGAGATTGCTGTGAGGTAGTACACACCCATATGGCAGTGAAGTTGTGAAGACACTGGAATAATTCTGTGTAAATTGTAAATAGCTGGTGCCCTGAGTCTTCCAAGTGTCTCCTTCCTACCCTGACTGTCCTAGCTCCTTCCAGCCCCTGGTCTTTGCAGCCACTGAAGGGATAATACTTGGCACAGCAAGATGTTCTCTAGAACTCGGCTCTAGAGCTATGTTCTAATAGGTGAGGGCCCGTGCTTCGCCAGTTGTTAAATACTTTTAATACAACACTTGTCTGTATGTTAGAATATGCATATGAAATTTTTTGAAGAATATTTACCAAGTATTATGTTATTTTGGGTCAGGATTGTGGATAAGGCTTGGATGAGAATATCCACTTTGAACATAAGTGTATACCTTGATGTTTTTTTTTAACAAAAAGCCTATATTCCATTTGTGACAAGCAAAACAATCCTGATTTTAGCGACCTATTTAAAATAAGCCACTATTCAACTGTATTTTTAAGATTTGTGAAAATTAAAAATACTGGCAACATCCAGTATGGGAAAATGGGCGGTATCACTGTGAGAATGTAACTTTGTACAATCTTTTTTATTTTTTTTTTCCTGAGGAAGATTTGCCCTGAGCTATCATCTGTGCCAGTATTCCTCTATTTTGTACATGAGTTGCCATCACAGCACGGCTGCAGATGAGTTGTGTAGGTCCGCGCCAGGAACCAAACCTGAGCTGCCAGAGCAGAGCATGCCGAATTTAACCACTAGGCCACGGGGCTGGCCCCTGTACAATCTTTTTGAAGGCTAATTTGGCAGTATCTATTAAATTTTTTAAATGCACATGTCCTCTGATCCAGCTATGCCATTTCTGGGAATTTATTTTTTGGAAAAAAGGTCATAAGTACCTAAAGATTGATGAACAAGGATAATGATTTTAGAATTGTTTACAAGAGTAAACATTGGCAGCAAACCTAAACCTTCATCTTTAGGGGAAAAGTGACACAAATTATGGCACATTTGGACAGTGACATACTGTGCAGAATAGAATGAGAGAATGGATTAAAAAATAGTTGTATATTAGTAAGATGGATTAAAGAGTAGAGAGGAACAAATTATTGATACAATGCAGATGAATCCCAAAAATATATATTGAGCAAAAGAAGCCTGACACAAAAAACATGTACATTGTAAGATTCCATTTATGTGAAAACCAAGAATAAGCAAAACTAGTCTATGACTAGTGATATCACTATGGTGATAAAAGTTAGAAAGTGGTTGTAGGGTGGGTGGGAGTGGAGAACTTACTGAAAAGGACGTGAGGGAACTTGATGGGGTGCTAGACGTGTTCTATATCTTTTTGGGGGGAAGTTCACAGGTATATAAAATAGTCAAAGTTTGTTGAACACTTAAGATATGTACATTATATTGTATATAAATTATTGTATTATTATTGTATATAAATTATTATATTGTACATAATTTGTACCTCAACTGAAAAATAGTTCCAAATGAGAAATGGAAAATGACTATAAGGGTTGTGCTATAAGGATATCTATGATATATTCACAAGTGGTAGAGTTGCAGTCAGTATTGTACAGCATTGTTTAAATTTTTAAAAAATTGCATAGGCAAAATGTAGAACAAATCTTGCCCTCCATGTGTGTGTATATATATGTGTGTGTGTGTGTGTGTGTGTGTGTGTGTGTGTGTGTGTGTGTGTGTGTGTATACATTGTGAATGATTTTTTTTCTCTTTGGTGTGTTTTCAGCGTTTTTCAAATTTAAAAAATTTATATACTAAGAAGGGAAAAAGAAGAGGGTAGTAAGGGAGAAAAAAGAAAAAATTAACACAAGTTAAAACAACATGCAGTGAAGAAGGAAAACAAAGGAGACTGTAAAGCAGCAAAAGAAAAATAAGAGAAACATAAGTGAAAAATGGCTAAAAAGAAACAGCTACAAATTCAGGAAAGTTACAGGCAGCAGGTTTGCACTATGGAAACTTTGATGAGTGCTAGAAAGAGCAGGTCTTAACGTGAGGTGCTGAACTGAGAGTGGATTGACATTCTATGGGCAGTAGTGCTACAGGCAGAAAGATGGTTTTGATGAATTAACTTGATTTCACTTGGAAAATCTGTCCATTCACTGCTCCTAGTCAGTACTTCAGTCATCCATGGGGGCCCTGCTGTTAATGAGTGGGAGAGAATATCTAGGAGTATATGAGGTGTGTAAGATAGATGGGACCACAAGGAAGCCAGGAAAATAATTTTCTCAGTCATTTAACTTTTAGAAGGTAGAGTCAACTGTTTTAAAATTCCAGGTCCTGGAAGAACTTCTATTGCTGGAAACACTGCACTCAAAAAGTCCAACTCATTAGTCTGGCATGAGAAATAAGAAACATTCCATTCTGTTTCGTTAGGTTGGTAGAATATTCTAGGGCTGGACTTCAGAGTCCAGCAGCTCTCCTTTGCAGAGAATTACATATACAGAGACAAGGTAGGACAAACAAGAAGGGCAGAAAATAGCATTTCCTTAGTTTTTAGAGTTAGTGCCCTCAAATTAAAACTTTGATTCAGTTGAGTAAACTGTGTTCCTCTCTCTGTTTTAGATTCGATTGACTTACAGAAAGCAAACGACCATAATCAGAGACTGGATGAGCAAATTCTGGCTTTAAGAAATCGGGTTCGATCACTTGACTCAGAAAAAAAAGTGCTTGGAGAAGTGGTAAGTTGTTTAGTTTAGTTTGTTCTTAGAATTTATTTAAATGTGCGTAGAATAACAATCAGCAGTAGAGCAACATAGAAATACATCACCCATTGGTCATTAGTGAGGACTGATACTGGTGGCGATAGCCTCCCAGGTGGATGCCGTACTTTGACCTGGATGCATTTTATCAGTATTTACATCTTATACATTTTAACTACCTTTGCTAAGTAGTAATGTTACTGCTATTGTGTCAATTTAGTATCTTTTCTTTTTTTAATTTAATTAATTAATTTATTTATTTTTCCCCCCAAAGCCCCAGTAGATACTTGTATGTCATAGCTGCACATCCTTCTAGTTGCTGTATGTGGGACGCGGCCTCAGCATGGCCAGAGAAGCCGTGCGTCGGTACACGCTCGGGATCCGAACCCGGGCCGCCAGCAGCGGAGTGCGTGCACTTAACCACTAAGCCACCGGGCCAGCCCTAGGATCTTTTCCTTTTAATACAGATTTAAATAATAGTTTATACTTAACACATTTACCAAATAGAAATTATTACTCTATTATATTGGATAAGTTTGAGATTATTAATACTAAACTCTTAGCTGTGTTACATTTTTGAACCATTTATTCTTAGCAATATATTGATTTTTAATATGTACTTCCAAGTTCTAGGTATATTATATGTCTCTTCAATTTTACTTTATATTCATTTCACAATCATATCTCTAGTGTCTAACAATGCTGGCATGTATGCTAAGTGCTCAAGAAATTTTGTTGCAAGAATGAATAAATACCCATTGGGATAGCTATTATCAAAAAATAGAAAATAACAAATGTTGATGAGGGTGTGGAGAAATTGAAACCCTTGTGCATTGTTGGTGAGAATGTAAAATGGTACAGCCACTGTGGAAAACAGTATGGCACTTCCTTAAAAAAGTAAGCATAGAATTACCTTATGATCCAGCAATTCTGCTTCTGGGTATATACTCAAAAGAATTAAAGCAGGGACGCTAAGGGATATTTGTATGTTTAGGTTCATAGCAGTGTTATTCACAATAGCCAAAAGGTTGAAGCAACCCAAGTATCCATTGATGAATGAATGGATAAACAAAATGTATATATATACAATGGAATATTATTCGCCCTTGAAAAGAAAAGAAATTCTGACATATGCTGCAACATGGATGAAGCTTGAAGACATTATGCTAATTGAATAAGCAAGTCACGAAAAGACAAATAGTATATGATTCCACTTAAATGAGGTACCTAAGGTAGTCAAAATCTTAGAGACAAAAAGTAGAATGGTGGTTGCCTGGGGCTGGGTTGAAGAGCAGAATGAGGAGTTATTGTTTAATGGATGTAGAGTTTGAATTTTGCAAGATGCAAAGAATTCTGGAGATGGATGGTGGTGATGGTTGCACAATAGTGTGAATGTGCTTAATGCTACTGAACTGTACACTTAAAAATGGTTAACATGGTAAATTTTGTTATGTGTATTTTATCCTAATTTAAAAAATGCAATCATAAGAATGAATAAACAAATAAGGACTGTTCAAGTTGTTTTAGTCTTTGTAAATTTATGTATCTAATACTGATATGTATTTATATGTTCAATATATATGTATATATAAGTGTATGTATACGTATATATATGTTTTTTTGTGTGTGTGTGAGGAAGATCAGCCCTGAGCTAACATCCGTGATAATCCTCCTCTTTTTGCTGAGGAAGACCGGCTCTGAGCTAACGTCTATTGCCAATCCTCCTTTTTTTTTCTTCCCCAAAGCCCCAGTAGATAGCTGTATGTCATAGTTGCACATCCTTCTAGTTGCTGTACGTGGGATGCGGCCTCAGTATGGCTGGAGAAGCGGTGCGTTGGTGCGCACCCGGGATCCGAACCCGGGCTGCCAGCAGCAGAGTGCGTGCACTTAACCGCTAAGCCACGGGCCGGCCCACATATATATATGTTTATGCAAGATAAAGTTCAGGACGGATACATCCCAAACAGTGTTATTTCTGAAAAGGAGAAAAGGATTGTGGGGTAAGGTTATGGGAAGGAAAATATCACTTTTTACTCTATATTCCTGTGTGGTGTTTGAATTTTTTACATGAAGAATGTATTCATGTATTATGTGTATATTTTAAAAACAAAGCAACGCGCCCCCCAATAACTTTTGTATTTAAAATACTTTTGTATTTAAGGTTGAGAGACTTAAAGGAGAGATTAGTGAATCTCAAAAGAATAAGCAAGCTGGAAACCTCTCCCCTGGAAAAACGGTGGGTGCTGAACAGAGAGTACAGGTATGGTTCAAGTTCTGTTCTTTCTGATTTCTCATTTTTAAGTGAGTCGTGTTTGTACAGAGTACACCAGAGCAGTGAGTGCTGATCATCTGCTCCTCTCTTCTTATTGTCTGTATGTTTCTATGGCTCACCAGTTAGAGTGGAGGAAGAAATTGGGGTACGTGGGATGTGTTTCTGTTCGCTTCTTCTCCACAGGGAGCAATTAATATGAAGAATATAATGGATTGTATCCTTAAAGAAAAAGAGAATCGGGGGCCGGCCTGGTGGCGCAGCCGTTAAGTGCGCGCACTCCACTGCAGCGGCCTGGGCACGGATGTTAGCCCAGGGCCAATCTTCCTCAAGAAAAAAGGGGAGGATTGGCAGCGGATATTAGCTCAGGGCTAGTCCTCCTCACACACACACACAAAAATTACATAAAAAAAAAGAAAAAGAGGGCCGGCTCCGTGGCTTAGCGGTTAGGTGCGCGTGCTCTGATGCTGGCGGCCCGGGTTCGGATCCCAGGCACGCCCCAAGGCACCACTTCTCCGTCCAACCCGAGGCCGAGTCCCACGTACAGCAACTAGAAGGATGTGAACCTACGACATACAACTATCTACTGGGGCTTTGGGGGGAAAAAATGAATAAATAAAATCTTTAAAAAAAAAAAAAAAAAAAAAAAAAAAAAAAAGAAAAAGAGAATCTTACAAAGATAGAACCAATTAGAGCATTTTTAATCATCAGAATGGAGTTGATTTATAGAATCAATCAATGGTGGGGGAGTGGGGAGTAAGAACCACACTGAATGTAATAAAATATCGTAGAGAACAAGTATGGTTCAGGCTCCAGTGTGTACAGTGTCCAGTCTTTTCAGCATGATCAGCCTCTGAAGTAGTGAGCAAAGTGATCAAACACAAGACAGATGGAAGCAACAGCCGTGTGTTTTAGATAGGGCTGTTTCAGACATTCAGGTCAAGGAGCTAGACTGCTTTGGGGTAGCCTTTCCTCTCACACACCTAAGATGAGTGACATCCCTTGTTGCTGAGGGCTCTCCTTCACCAGAGCTTTTTTTACTTTTAACTCCTTGGGCCCTATGCCCCAGACCTCTTAGACCTCAAGGAAACTAGAGCCACTGGATTTCCTGGCTCTCCACCCAAGGAACTAGTATCCTTCTTGTCTTCCAAAACCACTTGTAGGTAAATAATGTATTTCTGTGGGAAGGAAGGAAGGAAGGAAAGAAAGAAGGAATTTCCAGGCAGGACTTCAGTAACTTTTACCAAAATTATTCCCAAAGAACGTAGTGGTGCTCTAATTTAAAGGAAGTTGATTTATTAATACCCATTTTTATTAGTTGCTTATTTATCCTTTCAGTATTTCTTTACTCTAATACAAGCAATTTGAATATTTATTCAGATTTCCTCCTTTCTTAGTTTCTTTTTTTTTTTTTTTTAACTAAAATGTTCATGGAGATCTTTGCATAACATACAGAGAGATCTTCCTCATTCTTTAGAGCAGTCTAGCATTCTATTGTGTGGATGCATTGTAATTTATTTAACCAGGCTCCTGTTGATGGACACTTGGGTTGTTTCCAGTCTTGTACGTATATATATAGGTGTTTCTGTAGGATAGAGTCACAGAAATGGGATTGTGGGGTTAGAAGGTAGATGCATTTATAATTTTGGTAGATATTGCCAGATACTACTCAGTGGAAATTGTACCATATTCCTCTCCCATCGGCCATGTATGAGAAAGCCAGTTTCTTAAAAAATTCACCAACTGAATGTATTGGCAAACTTTTGTATTTTTACTAAATGATAGGTGAGAGTCAGTATCTCAGTGTAGTTTTTTTTTTTTTT